AGGCTGCCGTCAGCCTGCTCTCTGGGGCACCTCCACTGGAGGGCTCTGCTGGGACATGACCTGACTCTCTTTCCAGCATCTCCTCTCGGGTACCCCGACTGCCTGCTCCGCCGCTCCTGCGGGGCTTGCGAGCTGCCCCCAGCAAGGCACAGCTCTGCCGTGGGGTCCTGGGGAGTCCTGAGCCTTTCCCTGGGGGTGGGCACTCTCCTCTCAGAGTGCTTTGCTTCTCTCTGGGAGGGGTGGTGTCCTGCTCTATCCATCACAGCTCCATCTCTGGGCTGGGACAGAGAAGAGCGAGCAGATCTGCCCTCTGAACCAGTGCTCCCCAGATTCCATAGGAGTTCAGATTTTTTTTTTTTTTTTAAGAGTAATTTGTGTGTGAAGTCCTCTTCAAGGCAGCCTAAGTGAAAGCTGATGGACACTGCAACTCTCCTGACTCTGCTCAGAGCCAAACAGATCTTAAATCTTTTGCCTTTCCCATCTCAAGACACTTCACATTTTCAGTCATAAAAAATGAGGATCATCACTTATGTAGGAAACATAAGGAACATCACTTATGTTGGAAAATAAAAAACACAGACAAAATCATTATAAGGACATGCTAAGCCTCTGCTCTGCATCCCACGCTCCGGAGAGTCATAAGTGCAGATATTGAACTTTTCCATTACAGGTGGATTACATCTGACACCCCTTGTGACCGTGGGAGCTGTCACACAGCAGCTCCCATTTACCCACTGCAGCAGAGCAGGGCTGATTCCTCTGCAGCACAGGGGCAGAGGTCCTGCTCCTCACACCACATTCAGCCAGCACCAACCAGAGAAAGGAAGTGCGTTTCATCTGGGGTGATTTCTATGAAAAGTAGAGTGGCTTGTCTCACAAAAGTCTCTCCTAATTTTTCCGTGTCCTTTCATTTTTTGAACAGAGTCCCCATGCCAAGAAACAGCCAATGCCCAACAGCAGCTCCATCACCCAGTTCCTCCTCCTGGCATTCGCAGACACACAGGAGCTGCAGCTCTTGACCTTCTGGCTCTTCCTGGGCATCTACCTGGCTGCCCTCCTGGGAAACGGCCTCATCATCACCGCCATCGCTTGTGACCACCACCTCCACACCCCCATGTACTTCTTCCTCCTCAACCTCTCTATTCTTGACATGGGCTCCATCTCCACCACTGTGCCCAAAGCCATGGCCAATTCTCTGAGGGACACCAGGGCCATCTCCTACGCAGGATGTGCTGCACAGGTCTTTCTGTTTCTCTTCTTGCTTGGAGCAGAGTGTGCCCTTCTGACCATCATGGCCTATGACCGCTACGTTGCTATCTGCCAACCCCTGCACTACAGGACCCTCCTGGGCAGCAGAGCTTGTGTCCACATGGCAGCAGCTGCCTGGGGCAGTGGGTTTCTCAATGCTCTTCTGCACACGGCCAATACATTTTCACTCCCCCTCTGCCGGGGTAATGCCCTGGACCAGTTCTTCTGTGAAATCCCCCACATCCTCAAGCTCGCCTGCTCACGCTTCTACCTCAGAGAAGTTGGACTTCTTATATTAAGTTGTTTTTCTGCTTTGGGATGTTTTATTTTCATTGTGCTGTCCTATGTGCAGATCTTCAGGGCTGTGCTGAGGATCCCCTCTGAGCAGGGACGGCACAAAGCCTTTTCCACGTGCCTCCCTCACCTGGCCGTGGTCTCTCTGGTTTTCAGCACTGCTGTATTTGCCTACCTGAAGCCCCCCTCCATCTCCTCTAAATCTCTGGATCTGGTGGTGGTTTTGTTGTACTCGGTGATACCTCCAGCATTGAACCCCCTCATCTACAGCATGAGGAACAAGGAAATCAAGGATGCATTGTGGAATCTATGTGAATATACTCTACTTCAGATTTATAAGGTGACCATTATTCCATTAAGGTTCCCACGGTATTTCACAAAGACATGGACTAACTTTTCTTCATACATGTCTACCTATTTCCTTTGTGGTTTTTTACTTTTGATTTTGTTTGGTTGGTTTTATGCGCTTTTTTCTTGACATCTGATATAATTTTCTTGGCCTCTTGCTTGATTTGTTTCTGGTCTTGGATCCTGTCACTTTACATCTCCTCAGCAGCTTGATGAGCAGCCCAAGCATGCAGGAAGGGCTCAGGAGGCAAATGACCAGCTGCCCCATGGAGGATCACCCCCGGGGGCACTTGGGGCTGCCCCGGGCTGCCTCGCTGGGCACTCTGTCTCTGCTGCCTGCGAGTCGGGGCTGCTGCTCCCCTGCAGCCATGGCCAAGGACAGCAGCAGGATGTGGCTTTTCAGTGCTGGTGTCCCCTCACATCCACACTGTCTTCTGTGCTCTTGCCTTTGTGTTACCTCTTGGGTCTTGTGGAACTTGTGACAGTCCTGTTTTCTCTACAGTGGCATCCCTGTGGCTGCAGGCAGGAGCAGGCCACGTGAACAAATGTGAGAGAGAGGAGGCCGGTCTGTGCCCTTGGTGGCATGGACAGACTAGGAAGGTACCTAGGGCATTCATCACCTCCAGCCTCTCCCCTCGGCTCCTTCCACCCACTTTGTGGGTAAGGTTTGCTCTGTGGCCATCTCCTGCTGATCTCAGTGCCAGTGTCAGAGGAACATCCAGCCCTGCCTGGCCATTGCTCTGGCCCAGAGCTCAGCACGGTGGGGCCATTGGACCAAGTGTGAGGCAGTGGGGCTGGGCCAGAGCAGGGACAGGGCGCTGACAGGGGTTTGAACCTTCCTGTCTTCTATGTGACCAGCTAAAACAAGTCGGGGGAACGCCTCCTCCACTCTATTGGCTATGAGGTGACCCTGGGAGGCCCTTCCTCAGACAGCTCCACGTTACCCATGAAGCTCACTGCATCTAGCTTCAACCACTTCAAAGGCCGTGCTCTGGACTCTGACTCTCCTACTCATAGGTTTGGACATCAGGGAGCTGAATGCCACCTGTGACTATGAAGTACATTCCTGGTGTTCACAGGCAGAAAGGAGTTGCTCCTTCTGGTGCATTCTCATGTCCCGTGGACTCTTGACTGGGAATTTGTCTCCTCCTGTTTCAGATAACCGCTGTTCAGATGTCTATCGGGTCTTCATATGACAGAGAGTTTTCACCCACCTCCAGTGTAGTTCCTCCTCCCAGCACTTTTCAATCCCTTGGTTCCTTCTTTGTCTTGGGCTCCAGGAACCTGCTCGGCTGCCACACAGCCTGGCTTTAGCTCCCTCCTGGGCTCTCCTTTCCAAGTGAACCCTCTTCCCACACTGAAGTTCAAAGGGTGGATTGGAGGCGGATTGGAGGCTATACATTACCACACACACTCTGAACTCCTTTGCAGCACACTAGGCAAATCCTGTGTGCTGGTCGTAATACATCACAAGCTCTTCCTGGGAAGGTTGAGCTGCCAAAGCAAGCCTGTGGATTATCCTTGCCATGTTTTCAGGTCACAGTGGCAGCTCACAGGGCTCCATGGAGGCCTCCTCTCTCCAGACACCTTACTTGAGACAACTTCTTTCTCTCCATTGACAAGAAAGGGAAGTCTAGACACCTGGATTCCACACAGACATCTGCACTGAGGTGTCTGATGTTGTGGGAGAGCAGTGTGTTGCCTTTCTTCAGCTCAAATGGAGTCCCTCTGCATTTACCTTGGAAGGCATGAAGGAGGAGCGTGCATAGATGGTCTCCCTGCATAGACGCTCCCTGTAAGCAGATACTGGAGCAGATGTGTTGATAAAAGGGCAGATTTGGCCATGCAGGAACATGGTGTTTCCCTGAAGTTGTTCTTTTTCTGGAGCTGGTGCCCTGCTCACCAATATGTGGTGAGAGAGCTCGACAGCTTGGTAGGAGACTGGTTCTGTGCAAAGTGTGAGGCGGGGATGAACATGCCTGGTCGGGGAGGATTTTAAGGGCACTGGGTTCTCTGCAAAATATACAACTAAGTGTGGTTTATTTTGGTTGGTTGGTTTTTTATGCTGCAGGCCTCAGTATGATAGATGTGTTTAGAAAATGTCAATAAAAATGAAACAAAGAAAAAATTAAATTAAAAATAAAAGTTTTAATATACTTTTCAGCTTTTTTAATTTTGTTGTGTTCTTTTTCTCCTAGCTTAGCTTTGGTTATTTTTGATGCACCTGTCTTTTGGGGTGTCACAAATATTTTTGTTACTATTTTGATGAGAATAGTGATCTTCAGGGGTGTTCCTCAGCGGTTGGTACTGGGACGCATCCTGTTCAGCATCTTTGTTGGTTACATGGACAGTGGGATTGAGTGCACCCTCAGCAAGTTTGCTGATCTCGTGAAGCAGACGCACTGGAGGGAAGGGATGCCATCCAGAGGGACCTGGACAGGCTGGAGAGGTGGGCCCATGCAAACCTTAATGAAGTTCAAGAAGGCCAAGTGCAGGGTCCTACATCTGTGCTGGGGCAATCCCAAGCACAAGTTGGGAGGAGAATGGCTGGAGAGCAGCCCTGAGAAGAAGGACCTGGTTGTGCTGATTGACGAGAAGCTCAACATGAACCGTATCCTGGGCTTCATCAGAAGAAATGTGGCCAGCAGGTCAAGGGAGGGGATTCTTCCCCTCTACTCTACTCTGGGGAAACCCCACCTGGAGTACTGCGTCCAAACAGGAGCCCCAAACAGAAGAAGAACATGGACCTGTTGGAGAGAGTCCAGATGAGAGCCACGAAGATGATCCAAGGACTGGAGCACCTCTCCTGTGAGGACAGGCAGAAAGAGTTGGGGTTGTTCAGCCTGGAGAAGAGAAGGCTCTGGGGAGATCTTATTGCGGCCTTCCAGTACCTAAAGGGGGCCTACAGGAGAGCTGGGGAAGGACTTTTTACTAGGGCATGTAGTGATAGGGCGAGGGGGGATGGCTTTAAACTGGAAGAGGGCAGGTTTAGATTAGGAACGGATTTTTCACTTTAAGGGTGGTGAGGCACTGGAACAGGTTGCTTAGAAAAGCTGTGGCTACCCCATCCCTGGAGGTGTTTAAGGCGAGGTTGGATGGGGCTTTGAGCAACCTGGTCTGGTGGGAGGTGTGTCTGCCCATGGCAGGGGGGTTGGAACTCAATAATCTTCAAGGTCCCTTCCAGCGCATACCATTCTATGATTCTATGCTTTCCACAGGTCCATTTGATTTTTTGTGATTGTGTGAGTATAAAGGAGAAAAGTAAGGCAGAAAGAAATGAACAACACATGGCCTTTACTGGAAATGCAGTGGGACTGCATGGAGAGGACCCAAGCTGCTGAGCAGGGGAGCAGTGTGAGGAGGAAGGAGCAGCAGAGATGTTCTGTACGGATTGTTATCCCCTTCTTCACGATTCGTGCTGCTCCTTTTGGGGTTGGGGTGGGAAGATGAGTTTTGAAGAATGGAGTAATTTGAGCCTGGAGAAAGTGTGAAGGAACAGTCTTTACTTGTTTTGTCATGGTTTCTCACAATCCAAGTCTTTTTTCATTGGCAATAAATTAAACTGAGCTTTGGCAAGACGCCACATCTTTGCCCGTCACAGTAAATGGTAATGGATCTCCTTTACTTTATCTTGACCCATGAGCATTTCTGGTTTATTTTCTCCATTGGTCCTGTTGATTCGGGGGAGTGAATGAGCATCTGGGTGGAATTCTGGCTGCTGGCCAAGGTTAACCCAATTAAGCTGCGCTTTGGCAAGACACCACATCTTTGCTCGTGACAGTAACTGGTAACTGATCTCCTTGATTTATCTTGACCCATGAGCATTTCTGGTTTATTTTCTCCCTTGGTGCTGTTGACTCAGGGGAGTGAATGAGCATCTGGGTGGGATTCTGGCTGCTGGCCAAGATTAACCCACCACAGGACTGCATCAGGACTGCTGCGTCCAGTGTGGAGCTTCCCAGCACGGGACAGTCTGGAGCAAGTCCTGCAGAGGCCAGAAGGATGGTTGAGACCTGGAACATGTTACAGACAAGGAAAGGCCGAGAGAGCTGGGGTTTGGAGAAATCTTTCAGAACTAAACGCCAGAGCAAGGACCTGGGCCAACTGGTGGGATCTCAATCAATGGACATTTTCAGTATTAGTCGCGACACGGCCGTGAGGGCCTGATGTAGCTGGAGGTGTCTGACAACGGGCTTGGCTGTGGCAAGAACTATAGGACTTGTGTGTGAGAAGAGTTAGTAGGAAAGTGGTTGCCTTTTTATTAATAACGGTGGTAGATTTGGGCATCTCTGAGCCCCGGAGGAGGACAGGAGTGGCCATGCAGGAAAGGTCTCTCCTCAGCGCTGCGGTGTAGGACCAGAGCTGGGAATGGCTGATGTGTGGAACTAAGCTGGGACAGCTTTCCCGGGGCAGCTTCCCTGGGGCGTCCAGGCAACACGGCCCAGACCGGGCCCCCCTTCTGCACCTTTGGCGCCTTGCTTCCTTCACCATGACGCTTGGCTCTGCGCTGTAAGCACCCCGCTGTGTGCCCCCACCCCGCACACTCACACAGCTGAGCTCTACACTGGCGTGGTCCTCTCCCAGGCGCTTCCCAGCCCTTCCCAGCCCTCCCCAGCTCTGCCCACCTCCCCTGCCCTCTCCCCAGGACAGCCCAGCCCAGCAGCCCAGGCTGGGCTGGCCCCACAGCACTGCCCGCTGCAGGGTGATGCAGAGCTCTGGGCACTCACTGCACAGCCCCAGCTCCTCCCAGGGGCACAGCAGCTCCTGGGGGGCAGACAAGGGGGTCCTCCTCCCCATCAGCCCCAGGGCTTGTGCTGGTACCGAGGGAATGAGGAAAAACAGGCTAGTCACTCTCTGCCTCTTCCGAACTCATATTGCACGTGATCCTCAGCCCTGACTGAATTTGCCCCTTTTCCTCCCCAGTCAGCCTCAACGCCCCAGGACAGCACAGCAGTCCTGGCCCTGGGGTTCCCTCAGGCAGCTCCTGCATCTCCCCAGCCTCCCCTCCCTGTGCCTGCTGAGTCCCTGCTGACCCCCTTGGCACTGCAGAGTCCTTGTGCGTGGACACATTGATTCAGTGCTTGATTTTGGTGGACTTCACCTTTGAGGGTGTTTCACCTTCTGAGTCTCCATCCGTTCCAGCCCGATGGCACATGTTGAGTCCCAAACCCCTCCTCTCCTCCATGCTTCAAATGCATTTCCAGAATGTCTGGTATATACCATCAGTCCTGTCATACATGAGGAAGACTGAGGAGATGATGGGAGCTCATGGACCGCCTCTCCTGCCATTGAACACCAAGAAGAGCGCTTTTAAATACAGAACATTTGGTGTAGTGGAAACCAATAGTACCATGAGCTTAGCTCCAAAAACATTGAGAACACAAGGAGAAGAGACTCTTTAAAAGACCAGTCCCTTGAACATGTTCTTGGAAGGAACTTTGGAGGAATAGCCCAGCCCTCAGGCACTGCACTTGGGAGATGCCCTTTTATTGAAGAGGTGTTATCTGACAGGCCACACCTGACACAGTATTGTGCACAGGTCAGACACAGTAGCATCAAGCCTCAAGACAAGCAGTGCAAACTCAGAAAATTATCTATAAGTAGGATTATCACAAAAGAAAATAGCAGTCTCATGACCTAAGATAAATTCTGGGCAATGTGCAGAGAAGAGGTGGCAGGTTATTGTCGGTGAAACAGCATCCATTGGGCCTGTTTCCATAGGGCATCCTGGAGCTCCTGGTTCCTCATGCCATAGATGAGGGGGTTCACTGCTGGAGGCACCACCGAGTACAGAAATGACACCAACAGGTCTAGAAATAGGGAGGAGATGGAGGGGGGCTTCAGGTAGGCAAACACCCCAGTGCTGACATACAGGGAGACCACAGCCAGGTGAGGGAGGCACGTAGAAAAGGCTTTGTGTCGTCCCTGCTCAGAGGGGATCCTCAGCACAGCCCTGAAGATCTGCACATAGGACACCACAATGAAAACAAAGCACACAAATACTAAACAGACACTAACTACAATAAGCTCAACTTCCCTGAGGTAGGAGCGTGGGCAGGCGAGCTTGAGGATGTGGGGGATTTCACAGAAGAACTGGTCCAGGGCATTACCCCGGCAGAGGGGGAGTGAAAATGTATTGGCTGTGTGCAGGAGAGCATTGAGAAACCCACTGCCCCAGGCAGCTGCTGCCATGTGGACACAAGCTCTGCTGCCCAGGAGGGTCCTGTAGTGCAGGGGGTGGCAGATAGCAACGTAGCGGTCATAGGCCACTGCCCCAGCCGGCTGCTGCCATGTGGACACAAGCTCTGCTGCCCAGGAGGGTCCTGTAGTGCAGGGGTTGGCAGATAGCAACGTAGCGGTCATAGGCCATGACAGTGAGAAGAGAAAACTCTGCTGAAATAAAAAAGAAAAAGAAAAAGAGCTGGACAGCACATCCTTCATAGGAGATGGCCCTGGTGTCCCAGAGGGAATTGGCCATGGCTTTGGGCACAGTGGTGGAGATGGAGCCCATGTCAAGAATAGAGAGGTTGAGGAGGAAGAAGTACATGGGGGTATGGAGGTGGTGGTCGCAGGCGATGGCGGTGATGATGAGGCCGTTTCCCAGAAGGGCAGCCAGGTAGATGCCCAGGAAAAGCCAGAAGGTCAAGAGCTGCAGCTGTTGCCTGTCTGTGAAAGCCAGGAGGAGGAACTGGGTGATGGAGCTGCTGTTGGACATTTGGCCCCTCTGGGAATGGGGAACTCTTCTAGATGGAAAAGACAGAGAGAAGTTGGGGGATTCTTCACTGAGCAAAATCAAAGCCATTTATCAGACCCGCCTCCATTTCCCAAACTCAGTTTTCAGTTTCTAGGACATCCTCCTTCAGCTCCATGGCTGGAGCTCTGGTTGGTTCCGGCCAAGCTTGCCGTGATGACCAGGGACTGTGTGCATTGGCTACTGATGGGTCAGCCCTGCTCAGCAGCAGAGAGTTCCTGGGAATGCTGGTGTCAGGGGCCAGACCTGGTGTTCTACTTTGTCAGATGAAACCACACATAATGCAGAAGAGCTTGTCAGCATCTGCACTCTCAGTGCTAAGGAACCACGATGGCAGAGGAAGTTTGAGAGGTTTAGGGCCTTTTAAAGCTGCCCACATCTCACCCTGGGAGTGTTCTTGGATGTCAGAAAACTTCGGCATGTCTGCTCTTCCCAGGGAGAACAGAGTGAGTCCTGCAAGGCTAGAAGATATCCCGTGGCTCAGTGCAGAGGGAGAGGAGATGGTCTCTCCCTCTGTCTCATTCCCAGCTGACTTGGGCTTGCACCTTTCTAAAGTGGTGATCATGCTCCATGTTACCCTGAAAGGGCACCAGAAACCACTGAGAGTAGAGGGATCCACTGCAGACCACTACATGTCTCACCATTTCTCAAGGTCTCAGCACCCCACTTCTAGCTAAGGACAAACACGGTTCATTTCACCCACCCAACAGCATTTCTGTGGTTGTGGCATCTCTGCATTTCTCCATGGAGCTTTCAGATAACATGGTGGTGCTATGGGACAGGTTGGCATCCTGGAGGGCAGCTCACAGCTTCCATGGACACCCCAAGGACATACCCAATTGTCCTAAAGTTGGTATCTCAGTGAGAGAAAATTGACCCATTCCCCAGCCCCAAACACTGCATTGCCCACAGCCCCACAGCTTAGAGGAAAGCTGGGACACTTGTTCCCATGGACACACCGGCATGAGTGGATTAACAAGATCAGTGTGTGACTGCAGCTGAAATTCCCATCCCCAGGGAGGCTGACAGCAATGAAAAGATAACTTTAAAATAGACACATGGAGAACACAGGAGAAATCCAGTGAGGGTCTGGCTGAGAGAGGCCAGGGGAGAGGCAGCCGGGCACTCAGGACAGCGTTACCCTCACCCAGCTGGGCACGCCACTGCCCAGACACATATAATGGGTGGCGCAGGGAAGCCATCTGCACTGCAGGGGTGGCTGGAGGTGCCCGGATCTCCCCTGCAGCAGGCTTTCCATGAGCAGCTCCCCCCTGTCCTGCCCATCTCCACTGCCTGGAGCTCTCCTTGCCAGGAGCTCTTTTCCTGGCCCCACATCTCTTCCCTGCCAGCGCTCACAGACCCCATCGCAGCCACTGGGTGACCAGCTCTGCCCTGCAGCCTCTGCGTGTGTGCAGGGGGTAAAAAGCAGGTCCCACAAACCCTGGTGAGACTGGAAAGGGGATGCTGGTGCTGTCTGTAGCCCCCAGAGCTGGAAACTGAAGACACAGACTAAGGAGAGCTCTGTATCTCTACAGGGATCCCTCCTTTGACCTTTCATTTAAAAGTCCCCTTGGACATGTGCCACTGCCCACCCAGCCAACCAAGATGAGAAACATCAAAAGTCAGATACCTTCACATTAAGGGAATTCAAACTTCAGAAGTGCCCTCAGAAATGCCCAGAGGTGATGTGGAGGACCCGGGCCGGGGGCAGGGCCCCTGCCCCGACACACAGCCCCCGGGGGTGCAGGGACCCTGCTGGCAAGGACAGCCCTGCCCACCCCTGCCTGCACACTCGCCTTCACAGCCTGTCGGCCATTCCTGGAAGAAGGCAGCCGTCATGCCCTGTGCCTCTGATGGTGCAGCAGGGAAGCCCTTCTCTGGAGCACGTCCTCCTCCTCCACAGCAGAGAAGTTGTGAGTATCCTCCTGAAAGATCCCACAGGCTGTGGGAGGTGCCAGCTTTTGGAGATCTCTCCAGCTACTGCAGCTGCTTTCCTTTGAGAAGAGTTCTCCCCTCACTCACTCTCAGCATCCTCCCTCTCCACACTGCCTTTGATGTCTCTCTGCCTCCCTGCTCTGCCCTCGCTGCCTGCAGGCAGTGCCCTCAGCCCTGATCCTGGGCAGAGCTGTCTCTCTGCAGCGCTGCCCGCTTGCCATGAGCTCCCTCTGTCCCAGCAGCCCGGCCCAGCTCAGCAGCAGAGGACTAGCTGTGACTTTCTCTGCCTCCTCCCCGCACTCCCCCAATCCCTCGAGGGGTCCCTGCGCCTCCGGGGCTGACAGCTCCTCAAAGGCAGCAGGGGCTCTCCTGGGGAAGACAGTTCGAAACTGTCAGTCTAGTAATCACTAACTGTCCCTCTCTGACCCCTGGACAGACTGATCCCTGCAGTGGGAATTGCTCTGCCAGGGTGTGCGGACCTACAGGAGGTGTCCATGTTCCCCTCTGTGACCCATTCCTGTCCCATTGCCAGGCAGGGCACGGAGGCAGTGACAGGCCAGGGATCATTCCCAGTGCAGGGCAGGGGTGGAGACAAGTCAATGAGGCATCTCAGCTCTCAGCCGTGTTCCTGAGGCCGGAGGGATATTCAGCTTCTCCGGTGCACCCCACACACCCACAGTAGGGGGGATTGCTCTTCCTCAGCTCAGCTGCCCAAAACCAGTGTGAGCTCCTTACCTGAGCTGCCCCGTGAGTAATGGAGACAGAGGCCAGGAGGGAGCTTTTCCGATGAAAACACTGGGTGACATTTGAGGTGCCAGAGGTGGTTCAGGACATGTGCAGGGAACTGCAAGTTGTATTTGTGAGAGACAGGGCAGCATGTGGAGGCATTGTCCTGGACGCTGGTGGGGAATCCCCTTGGCCAACTGAAATGCCAGAAGGTGATCACGTTTAGGACAAATCAACCTGTCCCTCCTCAGTATGCTTAGGGCAGCCCGTAGAGATATTCTTCTGACCAAATGGAGTCATGTGCCCTGGGGGGGGAGCTCAGTCTACTTTTCTCTTCTCCATCTGTTGCATTTCCTACATCTCCACCAAGTGTAACCAAAGTTTTCCATGGATACCCCTCCATTGCTTACCCTAGTCCAGAGCAGCCGCTCTTCTTAGCAGTCAAATACAGGCCTGTAGTGCTGCCTGAGATGCCAAAGCATCCCAGCACAACCAGAGCGTACAGCTGGCTGGGCAGTGAAGAACCTACAGGACGGCTGTCCCCATCCAGAGCTGGTACCAAAGGGCACCCCAGGGCATCTCAGAGAGGTTTGGTGAGTATTCTATGAGCAAGTGACTGACTGTCCCCACTGCAGTGAGACAGTCTGTCCCATGTCTGTCCAGGAGATGCCAGCAGTGTGTGAATATAAGGCACATCCCAGCAGGGTCTCCACTTATGTGCCAACACTTTCAAATTCAGCTGATTCTTCTTAGCCCCATCCTTTATTCACCGCCTTGATGATACAATCAAGGACCAGGTGCATGATTGTCACATTGTTCCTGGATCACACAATGTCCACAGCCAAGGACGTTTTCAGCAGCACCTTGTCCTTCCTGGAGATCAGCTTGACCTCCATCCCACCACAGACAGCAGAGCCCTCTCCTGTCAGTGTTGCAAAGCCCAGCCCTCTTTCTCTCTTGCCTTGGGGAGAAGAGGGTTTGCTCACCTTGTGGGCTCCTCATTTCATCCTTACATTGCCACCTGCCACCCACTCCAGCTTGTCTCTGCTCTGCAGCAAAGCCTTTCCTTGCACAGGATTTATGGCGCAAGATCTGTGACAAGCTGGACAGGCTGGAGAGGTGGGCCCATGCCAACCTCATGAAGTTCAACAAGGCCGAGTGCAAAGTCCTACGTCTGGGTCAGGGTGATCCCAAGCACAAATCCAGGCTGGGCGGAGAATGGTTTGAAAGCAGCCCTGAGGAGAAGCACCTGGGGTGCTGATTGATGAGAAACTCAACATGAGCTGGCAATGTGCAATCACAGCCCAAAAAGCCAACCGTACCCTGGGCTGCATCAGAAGTGTGACCAGCAGGTCAAGGGAGGGGATTCTTCCCCTCTGCTCTGGTGAGACCCCACCTGTAGTACTGCAGCCAGCTCTGGAGTCCCCAACACAGGAAAGATGTGGACCTGTTGGAGCAGGTCCAGAGGAGGGCCACAAAGATGATCCACGGGCTGGAGCACCTCTGCTATGAGGAGAGGCTGAGAGAGTTGGGGTTGTTGATTCTGGAGAAGAGAAGGCTCCGGGGAGACGTTATAGTGGTCTTCCAGTACGAAATGGGGTTGGGAAAGCTGGGGAGGGATTTTTTACAAGGGCATGTAGTGATATAATGGGAATGGGGGAATGGTTTCAAACTTGAAGAGGGCAGCTTTTGAGAAAGGGAATAAAATAGTTTGAAACTTTCTGAAAGCCAGCTTTACCATAAAATGAAATAAGGTCAAGGGACCCACACAGGAGATGCAGTTTTTAGGAATAAAATGACAAGATGGACACTGTCAGATCTCAATGGATGTGATCAACAAAATAGCAGCTATGTCTCCACCAAATAGTTAAAAAAAGAAACATAAGCTTTCTTGGGTGTTGTGGGTTTTTGGAGGATGCATATCCCAGATTAGTCTGATTGTGATCGCTCCATATCAAGTGATCTGGAAAAAGAACTATTTTAAATGGGGCCCTGAGCAAGGACAAGCCTTCCAACAAATTAAGCAGCAAATAGTTCATGCAGTAGCCCTGGGGCAACTATGGATGGGATAAGATGTTAAAAATATGCTCTACACCACAGTTGGGGAGAATGGCCCTACCTGGAGCCTCTGGCAGAAAGCACCAGGGCAGACTCGAGGTCGACCCATGGGGTTCTTGAGTCGAGGATACAGAGGATCCGAAGCCGCTACACTCCAACCAAAAAGGAGATACTGTCAGCATACGAGGGGGGCCGAGCTGCTTCAGAAGTGGCTGGCACTGAAGCACAGCTCCTCTTGGCACCTC